GGGGCGCTAGCTGTGACGAACGGCCAGCAGCTGCGACAGTCCGTCAGCGCGCGATGCAGTCGTCCGAGCAGCCGTTCAAGGAGTTTTGGACCAAAACGATCTGGCCCGCCATCAAGACCAATTACGAGAGGCTCGCGAAAACCACTCCGAAGCGCATCGCCGAGAGAGTGGAGAAGGAGAGGGCGGAAAAGAACAATGAGGACAATGATGGCAAGGAGAAGCCTGAGGGGAAGACTGCCAGCAGGAAGGAGAAGGACCCAGTTCAGGAGAAGCTCGCAAGGGCCATCGAGGAGGCGAAGGAGAAGGGCGAGCGCAGGAATGCCTACATGAACTTGGCGTGGACAGGGCCGATCGACAACGCTATGCTTCAGGTTGCGATATCGCTGGGCAAGGTGGAGAACGTGGCTGCGGATATGTTTCTGAAGAACCTGCCGACGAACGGGGCGGCTGAAACAGCGGCCGAGCCTGGGGGGGCGATTGGCGACATCGATGACCCCCCACAGAGTAAGCCGCAGCGGCGGGCCGTGGAGGCCCTAAGCGCGAGCGGTCGGAAGCATTGGAACATCCCGAAACAGGTCGAGAAAGGTTTCGAAATCCCAATCATGGTCTCCAGCGTGAACCAGTTTATGGCGCCCGAGCTCGGCAAGTTCAAGCGATTAGCCATGGGCGCCGTGGTGAACGCAGCGTGGTTGGCCTTGTATTGGGCAAAAGAAGAAGGCTCAAGGGAGGCTGCAACAGCGCTCGAAGAGTTGATTCTTGATTGGCCCTTCGACTTCATCCACATGAAGGGGGGCGCGGCCGAGGAGATCGAGGAAAACAACTTCAAGTGGGCAGTGAACGCGTCGGCCCGCGCCGAGCGCCTGCGCGACTTCTTCGGGCTGGAGAACTCGAACCTTCTCCGCGTCGTGGCCAAGGCGGCGGACATGCTCCGGGCCCATGCGCCGGGGGGCGGGCAGCCAGCGCCAGAGAAGGTTCACGAGTGGCTGGTGAGTAACGCGGCGTGGGGCGCCCACCACTGTCCGGACGTGGGCGCAGTGAAGGGGCGCATGCTCAATTGGGCTGCCCTCGCGAAGTGCCCGGCAGCAATGGCGCTCATGGAGACGGCCGTGGCCCTCTGGGGGCGAAACAATCTGCTGGATTGGCCAGCGAAGCTTGGGGCGATCGTTACAAAAACCGACCGCCTCTCGCTGGGTTACGTCGTCGAAGCCTTGTTCACGAGGATGTGGCGGACGAGCAAGAAGGGCCCGTGCGCCGGCGGCGGTGCTCTGAATGACGTCATCAACGAGGTCCTCTGGGTGAGGGCATGCGCGTCGGCCATTCTGCGGCAGTGCCTAGGCCTGTTCAAATCTGGCACCAACTGGAACAGCCAAGGGGGCCAGACCACGCAGGAGTGTCTCTCCGAGGCCAAAGTTGTTCGCACGGCCAGGTCCGACCTCGACAGCCCGCTGCAGTTTTTCCTGCAGACCGAGGGCCCTGACAAGGGCCCGACCTGGGGAAGGGTTCTCAACGCGCAGTCCAGGGCCACAAGCTTGAAACACGGTGACACTCTCCACTTCCGACGCTCGGCGATCGACGCAGAGCCGCGACACCTGCGGCACCGACGCCCCGAATCGTCCAGCGCGCGCGAACTGGGCAGGATGGAAACAGCTTCGGGGCACGGCGGCGGCAAGCAGAGCTACAAAGGAGGGGGAGGGGGAGGGGGAGAAAGGAACCCTCCCTCACTCAGATCCCCTCGGCGGCAGTCCTGCTGGGCCATCGCCAGGGCCCCCTCCGCTGCCATCGAGTCGATGGCCGCCCGTAGCAGCCGCATTCGTACAAGGAATGCACGATGTTCCACTTGCGCCACTCGTGCGCGATCGGCTTGGGGCAGCCTGGCCATTCTCGCCGCCTCCTGCGACGACGTCAGCCATGGCGCTCCCGTAGACCAACCAACTTGATGCACGCGCGGCTGCCGCCTCTGACGCCGACATATGAGAATTCACGAACAACATAATGATATGCTCAGCTGGCCGGCGACGCAGCTCTTCTCCAATGGGTGACCACAATACTGCAGACTCACCACTCGGATTCATGAACTGCTTTTCGTACCAGCCATTGTAAACTGACTGGTTGTCCGTGATGTAAACAAGGTGATATGTGGAAACTCGAATTGCCATCCATAGCATATACAACTCGCCGCGAGGCACCGTCTGGTTCCCTGGCAGCGTGCCCATGATGACGCCTTGGGTGGTCAAATCCTCTTCGCCATTAACTAACGCCAGACCGCATCCAACTCGGCGAAAGCGGGGGTCCATGGAGTCAGGGCCACCCGAAGCATCACCAAAGAGAACGACTGGCTGTGAAACTGAACCAGGTCCTGTTGCATCGTCGTCAACTCCACTGCGAAAGAGCCCACTGCCGAGCCACGCCTCCGCCGCACAAGGAGGTGCGACCTTCGCCCAGCTCTAACATAGCATACTATCCACGGTAGAGCACACATTTGGCTGTAGAGCACACTTCCTGCTCTAACATGGCATGTTAGAGCACAACTTGTGATCTAACGTACCATGTTAGATCACAACTTGTGATCTAGCATGCGATGTTCGATCACAAGTTGTGATCTAACATGCTATGTTAGATCAGAAGTGGCGCTCTAACGTAGCATGTTAGAGCTCAAATTGATGTTCGGAGGGCCCGCCCCCGCCACCCCCAAGGGCGCGTGGCATGCGGAATTCGCGCAGAAATTGTCGCGCGCTGCGCCCCCCACCCCCCCGCAGCACCCCGAGCGCCCAGAGCGCGCGAAAATGATTTTCCGCGCGCTGCCCCCCCCCCCCCGCCAAAAAAAAGCGCCCTTAGCGCGCAAAAAATATTTCGCGTGCTAAGCCCCCGCCCCCCCCCCCCCAAAGCGCCCTTAACCGGCGAAAGTAGATTTTCGCCGTGCTAAGCCCCCCCCCCCCAAGCGCCCTTGACCGGCGAAAGTTGATTTTCGCTGTGCTAAGGCCCCCCCCCTCCCAAAGCCCCTTGACCGGCGAAAGTCCATTTTCGCAGTGCTAAGGCCCCCCCCCCCCAAAAGCGCCTCTAACCGCTTAGATTTTCGCAGTGCTAAGGGCCTCCCCCTCTCAAAAAAAAAGCGCCCTAAACCGCCGAAAATTGATTTTCGGCCGGTTAAGAACCCCCCCCAAAATGAGGGGGTCTCAACACCTCCGAAATCAATTTTGGAGGTGTTCAGACCGCCACCCAAAAAAAGCGCCCTTAACCCGCGAAAAGGGGGGTCTTAACACTTCCAAAATCGATTTCGGAGGTGTTGAGACTCCCATATTTCTGGGGGGGTCTCAACCGACCGAAAATCGATCTTCGGCGGTTTAGGGTGCTTTTTTTTGGAGGGGGGGGGGGAGCTCGGCATTGCGAAAATCGATGTTCGGCGGTTCCGGGTGTTTTTTTTGGGGGGTGGGGGGGGATAGCACTGCGAAAATCAATTTTCGCCGGTTAAGGGCGCTTTGGGGGGGGGGGGGCTTCGCACTGCGAAAATCGATTTTCGCCCGTTCAGGGCGCTTTGGGGGGGGGGGGCCTTTAGCATTGCGAACGTCGATTTTCTCAGGTCAAGGGCGCTTTGGGGGAGGGGGGGGGGGGGGGCCCTTAGCGCTGCGAAAATCGATTTTCGCCGGTTAAGGGCGCTTTGGGAGGGGGAGGCCCTTAGCATTGCGAAAATCGATTTTCGCCGGTCAAGGGCGCTTTGGGGAAGGGGGGGCGCGGCAAGTGCGCTTGGGGGGAGGGGGGGGGGGGCGTAGCACGAGACATTTTATTCGAATTCCGCATGCCACGCGCGCTTGGGGGCCGCGGGGGCAGGCCCGTGGGAAATCGATTTTCGCGAACATCGATTTCAGCTCTATCATAGCATGTTAGTTCACAAGCTGTGATCTAACATGCTATGTTAGAGCACAAGTTCTGCTCTTACGTGCTATGTTCGATCACAAGTTGTGATCTAGCATGGCACGTTAGATCACAACTTGTGTTCGAACATGCCATGTTAGAGCAGAAATTGTGCTATGCGGCCAAGAGTGTGCTCTAACATGCTGTGTTAGAGCACACTTTCTGCTCTAACATGGCATGTTAGAGCACACATTGTTATCTAACATACCATGTTAGTTCACAACGTGTGATCTAACATGCTATGTTCGATCACGAATGTGATCCAACATAACATGTTCGATCACAACTTGTGATCTAACATGGTATGTTCGACCGCAAGTTGTGATCTAACGTGGCATGAAAGATCACAAATTGTGCTCTAGCATGCCATATTAGAGCAGAAAGTGTGCTCTAAAGCCAAATTTGTGCTCTAACATCCTATGTTATATCACAATTTCTGATCTAACATAGCATGTTAGATCACAACTTGTGATCTAACATGGCATGTTAGATCGCACGTTGTGATCTAACATGGTATGGTAGATCAGAAGTTTTGCTCTAGCTTGCCATGTTTGAGTAGAAATTGCGCTCTAGAGCCAATTTTTTGTGCACTAGCATGCCATGTTCAAACATAGCTCAACCACAGCACAACCAAAGCTTTAACACATGGCAAGCAACGCTCTACCAGTCCCCCTAATGTTTAGGTTTGGCATAGCATTGCATAGCCCACACTTTCGACACACCTGTCATCCACGCAGGCGTGCCGCGCCGGCGGCTCCGCGTGAGCCGCCGCGCAGGACCGCTGCGCTCTCGTGCATAAGACGCCCCTGCTCCAACGAAGAGCAGCGGCATTGGCATGAACCTCCGGTGATCCTCCCCGATTTCTTGGACCCTTGCGCGCTCCGCGCGCCAGGCAGGTCCAGCGCCGATCCAATAAATCCGCGCGGTCCTCCTGCCAGGCCAACGTTGCTCCTCGGAGGCCGTTTGCGGAGCCATCTTGGAGCCTGTTAGGGTCATTTTGAGCGTCCGCGGCTATCCCCCAACCAAATGTTGTTCATATTGGCACCTTTTTTGGGGCCGTCTTGGGCAAGCATGGGCAACGTTGGAGCCACCCGGGGGCTCATCTGAAAGCCACGCTTCCGTAGTCTAACACATTGGCTCGCGCAGGCCAGTCGCATCCCATATTCGGCCTTACCCTGATACTTTACGCGCGCGGTCTCCTCTCGTGCGAGATGAAGGCCCGGGCAGCGTTCACATTCGTGTGGCCATTGATGTGCAGCATGGTTCCATGATGTCGCGCATGGAGGCAGAGATGGAGTCGGCATCGGAGGCCTCAGCGTCTTCGAGCGCAAACTGGTACATGTATAAGTCGATTGGATGTTGGGACAATTGCCCGCGTGTGTGGTCAACGAGCGCCAGCATCGGCAGACCGTATAGCCAAGCTTCTTGCGCGTCTCTCGCGAAAGCAGGGGGCTACATGTTCTTCTCCGTAGAAGATGGCAACCATTGTTGGTTACATTCAGAGACGTCGATCATTTCCACGCCGTCACTTTATAGCACTTGTGCCGACGGAGGTAGCAGTTGCGTGACTCACGTGTACCTGCTGTGCCTGTCTGTCACGGCGAGGGCGGAAGCCTGTGAGCAGCCTAGCAGGGGAGCGTCCTGTAATTGCGGGTGTGCGATCATCACGGGCATGGGTAACGGGGACGCTACTTACAGCCACCCATCGGGCTATCGCGGCATCCTGGTGTCCACTCGTGCAGGGCATAATTTCTTCATGTGGACAGATCTGACCTCGCTCAAAAATCACCTTAATGGCATTGCTGCTGGCACGATAGTTGCGATCGCTACAAACGACGAACCGTTCGAATTCTGGTATGGGAATTCAGGGAACATCGGAACGCAATTGAATCATATCTTGGTGTCCATGGGCATGCCGGCGCCCAATGGGGGTACCCTTTCCAGCAGTATGTGGCGCGCTTCCTATGCGGGCGTTGGCCAGGCGGGATGCGGCAATTCGTGTCCAACGTGGACAGGCAGCGTATACATATACACGGCGCGAAACGCAGACGTTGCTATATACTCAACTTCTATTTGTGCGACGACGCCGTCCCCGACGCCCTATCCGACGCCCTGCCCGACGCCCTACCCGACGCCCTACCCGACGCCCTACCCGACGCCCTACCCGACACCCTACCCCACGCCGAACCCGACGCCCAACCCGACGCCTGACCCGACGAGCAGCCCAACCTCCAGTCCGACCGCGTCCCCCACGACCAGCCCGACGTCTGCGCCAGCGGCGCCGCCCATCAACAGCGGCCCAATGGTTAAGGGCATCGGCGACCCGCATCTCGCCAACACGCTCGGCCAGACGTTTGACCTGCTTCAGGCTGGGCACCACACTTTAGTCCAAATCCCCAGGTGGGAGCGGCATCTGATTGATTTCCTCGTGGAGGCGAGGGCGAGTCGCGCTGGGCGTGGGTGCGCTGATCTATACTTTACGGAGATCAACATCAGCGGCACGTGGGCTCGTCGTCACAGGGCAACGGGCTTGCGTTGGGACGCCGAGGCTACGAGGCTGGCCAAACCAACATGGGTGACCTTCCACAATGTGGTCAAGGTCAAAATTGTGCATGGCCGCGCAGCCCAGAACACGAAATACCTCAACATCTTCATGAAGGGGCTGCACAAGACAAAGGTCCCAGTGGGTGGCCTCCTCGGGGAGGACGACCCCACGGCGGCCACCACCCCAGACAAGGGTTGCAAAGACATCATGACGCTGTGAGTCTTCTCCCGCCCGGGTCCCACAGTGCAGAGTGATTACGGAACATGGCTCCATCATCAATTCGGGATTCAGGACAGAAATTCATGCGCGAACCAAGCATGTCCATCTCTCGTTCAAGTGCCGTGTGGGATAAGTAATGCTGGGGTATTTAATTGCATGGCGCTGCAGCCCAGGGTAGCAGCGCCTTTCACGCAGCAGTATCCAGCGAGGTGCAGCCCAAGGTAGCAGCTCATGTACAGCGCTGGATTGTGGTCTTCTGCGACAAGAACTGAGATGCCCACTTGCTTTTTGGATCGTTCTGCTCCCTAGCCCTATCTTCCGAGGCGGGGATTTTATACACCCAACCTACCGCGTTTTCATTATCAGCGCGCGTTTGGCGCAGCTCGCGGTTGGCGCGCATTTGGCGCGTCGACTGCTTCGCCGTCTGGTAACTGACTTGCTCCCTGGTTGCCTGAAAGTGCGGCAAATAAAAAAGCATGACGAAGCAACCAAAGACAACAACAACACGGGCCCCAGACGGCGCCAGAGGCCCCAAAGAGGTTTCCAAGATGGGCTGAACAGAGCTTCGAGCGGCACAGAAGAGCTACAAGACGGCCCAAGAGAGCCCCCAGGAAACCCGAGGGGGCCACCAGGTGATTCCTACGGGCTGAGCTCCCCACGACGAGCCAAAAGGGACCCAGAACGGCCGAATTGGGCCCTTAGACGGGCCAACAAAGGCCCCACAGGACTCCAAAGGAAGGCCCGGTGAGGCTCCAGAAACTGCCACAATGCTTCCAAAAAGGCTCCTGGCACGCGTTCCAGTAGGCACCCCTGTACTCTGTGGGTTGAGAGAATAGAGAAGGAGGAGGAGGAGGAGGACGAGGAGGAGGAGGAGCAGGAGGAGGAGGAGGAGGAAAAGGAGGAGAAGGAGGAGGAGGAGGAGGAGAAGG